ACAGAAAGGGCGCCACTGCGACAATGCCCACCGAGACGACGATGCCGCCGCGAGCCCGCCGCGCCAGCCCAGCCCGGCTGGGAGGGCGGCGCGGGCCGGGGAGGTGGGGGGCGGCCTGGCCGCCCAGCTTGGAGGGGCCCGCCCCGGGCAGACGGGGGGCCGGCCTGGCAGGATCCCCCGCGGATCCGGGCCCGCGGCGGCCCGCCAGCTCAGCAGCTCGATGGCGGCGCCGGCGAGGCACCCTCCGAGCGTCCTCGGAGGAGCGCGGCCCGCGCCAAGCCTAGGACCGCACCGCGGCCCGTGACGCGCCGGCCCCCGGCTGCGAGATGAAGCGGCCGTGGTTCTGCACCGTCTCCATGACCTCCTCCGCCGAAGCCACAGAAAATCTCTCATAAGCTGGGTGACGAAGGAGTCGAGGGGAGGGGGACTCGTCAGGGCGCAGCAGTGGCCCAGCGGGGAGAAGGAGCTCTCGGGCACATGCGTCCAAAAAGCGGAAGGAGTGGCAGCCCAGGCTGCATATCATGGAGGGCTACTCGTCGGCAGCCCAGGAGGATGGGGAAGGGAGGGGGAGGAGGAGGAGGAGGAGGAGGAGGAGGAGGAGGAGGAGGAGGAGGAGGAGGAGGAATAGGAGGAGGAGGAGGAGAAAGAGGAGGAGGAGGAGGAGGAGGGCGACGAGGGCGGAGAAATGACGAGAACGAGGACAGGGACAAGGGGGACGGGGTTTTCCATCTTCTCCTCGCCAGCATCTCCTCATCCTACCTCATCCCGCCTTCCCATCCACCCCTGCTAACTCCTCCTCCTTCTCCAGCTCCTCCTCCTCCACATGTTCCTCCTCCGTTTCCTCCTCATCCTCCTTTTCCTCCCCATCCTCCTTATCCTCATCCTCCTGGAAGCGACACTCCGCCTGTTCTTCCTCATTGTCCTGTAGCCCTCTCAAACCACATAGGACCTCCAAGAGCCCCCGCTTATCTTTAGGATATCGGACCCTTGGAACCCTCTCCTCCTCCTCCTCCTCCTCCTCCTCCTCCTCCTCCTCCTCCTCCTCCTCTTCCTCCTCCTCCTCTCTCCTCCTCCTCCTCCTCCTCTCTCCTCCTCCTCCTCCTCCTCCTCCTCCTCCTCCTCCTCCCTCCTCCTCCTCCTCCTCCTACTCCTATCCTTATTCCTTATTAGAATATACTCCTACTCCCCCCTCAGGCCGGCCGATAGGGGCCGCATCCGGGTGGTCCCATCCTAACCTGTAAAAAACAATACAAAATCAACATTTTTCTTATTTTTTCCTCTCGACATGGACGTCCTGTCGTCCACGGCGATAATCCATTGCAAAAAATACCACAAAGAGCACACGCGCGCGTTCATGTCAGAATCCTACCGAACACCGTGTGTTTGCAAGCATTTCAACATAAAAACATCAAAAACCCAATGCTTTTTTTTTCACAAAAATTCTACAAATTTCCTGCCCGGGCTCTCTTGCTGAAATCATAGGAAAACCATAGGAATCTTAAGAATTCTTGTCAAATCCAGCGATTTCACGTCATCGCGCGGTGCACTCGCGATGCTCTGTCATGCACCCAGGCCGCGAATCCTGTGCAAAAAATACCACGCGGGCGACATGCGCGCGCGTCGCCGCGAGCGCATGCTCAAATCCTTCTAGAGTCGTCGCCGTCATTGGCACCGTCGCATGGACGTCCTGTCGTCCACGTCGCAAAATGCATAGCAGGAATGGGACGCGGCGCACACCCCGCGCCCGCCCATCCAATCCGTCCCATTCTAATCTGCAAAAGACAATACACAGTTTTTGTTTTTCTTGTCAACATGGTCGTGCTGTCGTCACGTCGCAAAATGCGTGGCAGGAATGGGACGCGGCGCACACCCCGCGCGAAGGGGTGACATGTCGCTCTCGCCTCGGCGCCGCGCACCAACGTTTTTCCTCTCAGCATGGACGTCCTGTCGTCCACGTCGCAAAATGCTTGGCAGGAATGGGATGCGGCGCACACCCCGCGCCCGCCCATCCAAACCCCCCCTTTATAAAAAAAAACAATACAAGTTGGGGCCTTCAGGCTTCCTGCGGTGTACCGGGCCATTCTCGACTCGTCTGGCAATGCGTGCGCGGCATTCAACACGCGCTCGCCAGTTCCCGTCGGCAACCGCCATCGCGGCCGCATCAGCTGTACCAAACCGGCTGGCCGGTGTGACTTCGGCCCCCAGTTGTGCCAGCTTTGCTTCTTATGTTGTGGGAGGGCGGGTGGGACTGGGCATGCCATGCTTGACTCGCTCGACTCCTCCTTTCAGGCCGGCCATTAGGGGCCGCATCCGGGGGGTCCCATCCTAACCTGTAAAAAACAATACAAAATCAACATTTTTCTTATTTTTTCCTCTCGACATGGACGTCCTGTCGTCCACGGCGATAATCCATTGCAAAAAATACCACAAAGAGCACACGCGCGCGTTCATGTCAGAATCCTACCGAACACCGTGTGTTTGCAAGCATTTCAACATAAAAACATCAAAAACCCAATGCTTTTTCACAAAAATTGTACAAATTTCCCGCCCGGGCTCTCTTGCTGAAATCATAGGAAAACCATAGGAATCTGAAGAATTCGGTCAAATCCAGCGATTTCGCGTCATCGCGCGGTGCACTCGCGATGCTCTGTCATGCACCCAGGCCGCGAATCCTGTGCAAAAAATACCACAAAGAGCACACTCGCGCGTTCATGTCAGAATCCTACCGAACGCCGTGTGTTTGCAAGCATTTCAACATAAAAACATCAAAAACCCAATGCTTTTTCACAAAAATGCTTTGGGGTGTCCTGTCAGACCGTCGGGCTTCCTCCGGCCACCTCTGGCTTCCTGCGGTGTACCGGGCCATTCTCGACTCGTCTGGCAATGCGTGCGCGGCATTCAACACGCGCTCGCCAGTTCCCGTCGGCAACCGCCATCGCGGCCGCATCAGCTGTACCAAACCGGCTGGCCGGTGTGACTTCGGCCCCCAGTTGTGCCAGCTTTGCTTCTTATGTTGTGGGAGGGCGGGTGGGACTGGGCATGCCATGCTTGACTCGCTCGAGCTGGCTAGCTTGACTCCTACTTCTACTCCTACTCCTATCCTTATTCCTTATTCCTTATTAGAATATACTCCTACCTTCCCCCTCAGGCCGGCAGATAGCGGGCGCATCCGGGTGGTCCCACCCTAACCTGTAAAAAAACAATACAAAATCAACATTTGTCTTATTTTTTCCTCTCGACATGGACGTCCTGTCGTCCACGGCGATAATCCATTGCAAAAAATACAACAAAGAGCACACGCGCGCGTTCATGTCAGAATCCTACCGAACACCGTGTGTTTGCAAGCATTTCAACATACAAACATCAAAAACCCAATGCTTTTTCACAAAAAATTGTACAAATTTCCCGCCCGGGCTCTCTTGCTGAAATCATAGGAAAACCATAGGAATCTTAAGAATTCGGTCAAATCCAGCGATTTCACGTCATCGCGCGGTGCACTCGCGATGCTCTGTAATGCACCCAGGCCGCGAATCCTGTGCAAAAAATACCACAAAGAGCACACTCGCGCGTTCATGTCAGAATCCTACCGAACACCTTGTGTTTGCAAGCATTTCAACATAAAAACATCAAAAACCAAATGCTTTTTCACAAAAATGCGTTGGGGTGTCCTGTCAGACCGTCGGGCTTCCTCCGGCCACCTCTGGCTTCCTGCGGTGTACCGGGCCATTCTCGACTCGTCTGGCAATGCGTGCGCGGTATTCAACACGCGCTCGCCAGTTCCCGTCGGCAACCGCCATCGCGGCCGCATCAGCTGTACCAAACCGGCTGGCCGGTGTGACTTCGGCCCCCAGTTGTGCCAGCTTTGCTTCTTATGTTGTGTGAGGGCGGGTGGGACTGGGCATGCCATGCTTGACTCGCTCGAGCTGGCTAGCTTGACTCCTACTCCTACTCCTACTCCT